AGATATTTAATAAATCATTTTATAAGGTGTGATATGAGGTGCTTATGTTAAATTTAGATTACTTGTTATGTGTGAGATTTGTTTCAAAATAATCAAAGAGGTGGATGAGAACATTGATGAAATAAGATTGCTTATATATGGATAATTTTGGAAGTTGGTGATAAGTAAATGCAGGATTATTCTTCTGTACTTGTCTGAAAATTTATTTATAGTAAAAATGTAACAGAAATTATTTTGACTTGAAATAACATTTTTTCAGTAGTTTTTTTCAATAGGACATGTGATTTATCTTTTTAAAAATTTACTGTTGAAAGTAGTAGATATCTCTCCTCCCCCCCAGACCTCTCCCTAGCTGCTCCCACTCCCCAGCACATACCTCACACGCTACTGTCTGTGTCCATTGTTTATGCTTATATGCATGCATAGAAGTCCTTTGGTTGATCTCTAACCCCTCCATTCTCCCTCCCCTGCCTTCCCTCTGAGATTTGATGGTCTGTTCAATGTTTTTGTAATAAATACATATTCTTAATCACTGAAAATCCTATCTACTATAATTCATCTGTGGTGATTTCTGTGCAAAAACTGGGAAGTTGACTCCAAATCCTAGCAAAATTAGGTTCAGGGCCTCTGTGATTATTTGCCTTTGAAAAATTAGCTACAAGTGATATAAAGATAAAATTACTTTCTTTTGTAAAAAAATAATGTAAGTTCCTAACATATTCTACCTTTTATATAAAATTTGGTTATATATACTTTGACCCAATTTAAAATTAGAGAAATGTACATATAATACCTCAAAATGTAACATGAGTACATATTCTAATAGAACAGAAATGTGACCAAAGAGTAGATTTCTGAGAGTGTATTTCAGACCAGAAATAATATGTGTTGGAACTAGAACAGGTTTGATTCAGTAAGTCATTTCTAACTACACAGAAAAGATGCAGAATGTAAAGTTTATTTTTTGTTTATTAATTTATTTTGAAGGAATCATTGATTTTCCGAATATGTGTTGTTTGGAGATACAATGCATGCATAGCCTTTTCAAATGCCTTTGTACAATTTCACTTCAAAATAATTTGATTCACAGCATACACAGAAATCTAAGAGACAAGGTATTTACAAGATTTAATAAGTTCTTGCTGTTTTAATAAAGAAACGAATAAATTCTTTAACAGTAGAGAAACATGGACATTGGGTATCATTATTAAGAATTCAGAATTGTTCAGTCGCAAAATAAGTTTTCATGGCTTAAAAAAACTATAATTGAGCCATTCTATTAATTTCTGAATGCTCATGCCATGCAAAATCTAGTTTTAAATATCTGGGGTTGCATATGATATAGGAAAAAAATGCATTTCTGGTGAATGTGAAAACGTCATTAGAATTAAATTTTACAGTAAGAAAACACTGTTAATTCTCTCAGAAAGATTCAGTAGTGGTGCAACACAGACAGTGCCTAATTTAATGATTTTTTTAAAGTAACATTTCAGTAATCATTTTTCCTTCTTTACAGATATACAGACACACTGTAACATGAACTCATTCAAAGTCTGAACAATGACTACAGTATTAAAATAAATCAGTTTTAACTATAAAGGGACATCTTCACATTCCAGGATACATTGTTGATATTTTCAAAGAACAATCTTCCTATACCTTATATTCTTTTTGTTTATAGCATCAGACATTACAATTACCTCTTAAAATACTATATAAAACTTGAGTTGCCATAGAAAGCTGGCTATGAAACTTAGATAATTGGGACAAAGCAATGACAAAATTTTAGGAAGTAATTAAAATACTAAAATTGAGACCAGCTCTTTAAAAATTATTAAACTTCTCATCACACATCCCATTTCTTTCAGGGAAATAAACAAATTAGCAACACTTCCCCCACCATTGTTAGTCTGCTCTAAAAACTACTTTTACCACACATTTGTTTCTTTAAAACCCTGCATCTACCCTCTCCCAAACAAGGTCATTCTCAATTTGAAACATTTTTACAATGCTCATTAGAAAATTTATGGCTCCTCTATAAACTTTTCAGACCTACTCCAAAATTTAGGGGGCCGTGCACTTTAACAAAATGGTATATGTGCTCTCCAAAAACCCATTTTAAAACAGTGAAATACATATTTGAAATGTGTCTGGCCCTGGCTGGCGTTACATGGTGGTTAGAGCATCAGCTTGCCCACCAAAGGGTTGCGGGCTTGATTCCCAGTCAAGGTCACATACCTGGTTCACTCTGCTCTGAGAGGGTGTCTGCAACCATTCTATGTATATGTATCTGTCGCATGAATGGTTCTCTTTCTCTCTCTCTCTGTCCCTCCATCCCTCCCTTTCACTCTCTCTGAAAAAATCAATGGGAAAAATATCCTCAGATGAGGATTAACAAAAAACAAACAAAAAAACAAGTGTCGTTAGGTCTGCGTTAAGAAAAAAAGTTTTTAATAGAAACAAGAAGTGTACCAATTGATCTAAGGAGCACAGGCACCTCTCAGCAGGCAGGCAACCATCCAATTTGTATCCTACCATTTATATGCCAATTGTCTGTATATGTCAATCTAACTAGAAGATCCTTTACTTTGAAAGTTGACTAAATTCTTGTTCAAACTGGTCACAGACAAGAAGTAATGGATATATGGGACACAGTTAAACGTATCAGATTTATCAGTGTCAAATGATTTTGCTTATTAAAAAAAAACGGAATACAGCCTATGTTGGTGTATGAAACTTGTGCACAATCAGAAATGAACACATACAAAAAAAAAAAACACTTCCTTCAAATCAATCTGATGTGTCATACCCCACCCTCTATACCTATCAAATAGAGTGGTTTCTCAATTTCCCTGGCAGGTGAAAATAATGGTTGACTAGATATATCACCTAAGGACTGGAACCATGCATCAACTGTATGACAGCAGCTTAGTAATCTGGATGTATGTTCATGCAATAGTTTTAAAGTCATCTATGTGGTTTAATAAAGCATCAAACTATTTTCATTACATGCTACTTTCATTCTCAACTGTCAACTGCCAAGTTAGTTGCTGCCGCTTGAGCATATCACTAAGAATACTGGTAAACCTTTAGCTAGAACACCAACCAGTATACAGATTTCCCCCTAAACTGTTACTAAATACCAAGTGGGGTCCACCATCACTAAAGAGATAATGAAACCATAGAAAAGCAAAGATGGAATGTTACAGAATAGGACTGTTATTGGAGACTGACAGTACGTGTTACAAAAGCCTTTAAAGGACGCTGTTTTCAGGTCACTGCTTTTAAGTCCATCTGCTTTCTCACCATTGTTTTCACAGTTTTGCCACAGTTGTTGTATGAGAGATGTTCTATCAGTCTAATTACATAGCCACACTTTGTAGAGTGTGAAAGTATGATTTTGATGGAAAACTATGATGAATTGTTAATGCCTTTGGTTTCATTATGCTATTAAATGCAGCTTATTTTTCTAGGTCTGCCAGAGATTACTGCCAAATTAGAATGCAATGACAGCTTAAAGTGTGTGCGTGGTGGGTAGGGGAGGGAAGGTGGATATTTCTAAATTTATAACCTCAGGAAAAATCCCTAAGTATTAGAAAAACTTTCAATTTTATTGCTGTTTATATTTACCCAAATAAGGGGAAGATTCCAAAATCCAATTCTCAATGATGGTAGAATCATTAATTGAATGTCTTCTTAAATTTTTTCCAGTGGTGCATTCTAGGGAATTACATCTCTTGAGTTGTGCATACCCTAAAGTTCTAGTTTCATAAATAAGGAGTGCTTCAGTATCACTTAAACTACTTGGAACTCAGTGTTGTTTCTGAATATAGTATGTTCAATTTGAAACGTTCTTAGCTTCAAAGTCCTTTTTATTCACCTTATTCTTAATCTTATTTTTTGACTAGCCTTCTCTTCCTCCCCAACTTTATGATATTGGCCCACTGTACTTTCACTCTCTGGTTTATGAATGTATGTGCAAATAAATATTTACTGAACTAATATTAATTTTTTTCAGCTAAGTTAGGATTATGGCACAAAGTATTATCTGTGCTGTAAACATCATGAATCCCTCACAAAACTGAAAGGAGGGGGCAAAAGGCCCTATGCACTGCAAATGTATCTTGTAGAACCACAGGTGAGATCAAGGTTTCCAAATGGATTTTGGAATGGATTTACAATTGGCATACATTCATTGTGCTACTGACAGAGCACAGTTTTACGAGAAGGTCATTCATAAAATCGTACTTTGTAAGGGCTCATTTTTTATTTTTAAAACCAATGACCTAATAAAAGCATGCAGTAACTTCAAAAATATATCTATTATGTGGCATAATTAGGTCTTGGTTACCAGTGTTGATATAGCTTGATGAATCATTGTATGAGCAATGATTATACTTTTGACAAAGGGCACAACATGCCTAATTCCTGACTACTGCAAATCACATTTTAAAACATCTTGTTTGTGTGTTGGAAATTACCCCTGAAAAAAGCAGCAGATACAAATACCCTATTATTTTGCCCCCTGCCCATCATATTCTAAGTGCTCCTTCCTATCCTCTTCAGTAGGAAGCAATGGGAAGGGCTCTAGGTTTTTCAGAGAGCTGTGACCAGATAAGTCTGCTATGGGGATTCACAGTTTGTCTGCATAAACTGTAACATGTCACACGATAAAGTTCTAGTTTATAAAATAAGGGTCACTCAGCAGTACTCAACAATTGGATTCCACAGAAGAGCTCTTGACTTCTGTGTACATTCTTTCAAGAGAGAATCCTTTCCCAGTTTCAAGTATCCCTTTCTGTCTCTCACTCTGTAATGAGCTGAGACAGGGAAAAAACCTTCCCCATTTTTCCTGTAGTGAGTACAGGCAGCTCCAGGGCCATTCCTCCTCCCGCTATGGAATCTGAAATAAAAAGGCTGGACAGATGAAGATCCCCAGTTTCCTTTTCTTCTAATGGACGCTCAGCTTCACTGTCAACCTGGTGCAGACTCTTCTCAATTCAGGTGTACCGGGGCATCTCACACTGCTCACAGCGATTTAGTGCTGGGTGGTTCAGAAACGTGCAGCTGTCACAATTCCATGGGGCCCCTTCATAGTCTTCATCTCGGGGCTGTGTCTGAGGATTGTTCTTGGAGCCAGGTAGATGCTCTGAGGGAAGTTAGAATGGAAAGAGAGAAAAGAAATTGATTTTCCCAAGTATAATCCAAACAAATTAAAAACTACCAAAAAACGAACAAAAATAAGAAGTCTAGTATAGATTACCTTCAAAGTTCATTAACCATACATAGTTGTTAATAAGCTTATTATCCATACACACCTTGTTTCCCTGAAAATAAGACAGTGTCTTATATTAATTTTTGCTCCCAAAGATGCACTAGGTCTTATTTTCAGGGGATGTCTTATTTTTCCATGAAGAAGAATATGGTACACATTTATTGTTAAATGAAAATAAAGGAAATTTACTACCTGTATACGGTACGGTAGTACGATAGTTGTCAACACAAACCAGACAAACTGAGAATCCTACAGTATCAAGAATTTACTCATTTATTCAATGACAATCATGTCATCATCTGGAACATCATCATAACAATCCAATTCCTGAATGTCCTGGTGAATTTCTTGTGACTCCATTTCTTTCAGAATCAGTGGACCAAATCTCTCATGTTTAGCAATAGCACTGTCTTTAAATGAGTACTTCTTGTCAAGGTAGCCTGCTCGCAGTGCATTTGCAATGCAACTTTCAGCGATTTTCTCCCATGAATTCTTCACCCAAGTCACAACTTCTTGCAGTTTAGGTTTCACAAAGTTTCCACGCTGATTTCTCTCCATTCTATTTTCAATGTAGTCATTAATTTCCATGCACATATTGTCTTTGAATGGCTTGCTTATTGCAATATCCAGAGTCTGGAGATAGGCTGTCATTCCTGCGGGAATCATCTGATCTATTTTCCTTTCATGAAGAAATGTCTTCATGTCTTTAGTGCGGTGAGTGCTGGCTGCATCCCAGACTAGCAGACCTCTTTGGCTCCCTCGCATAACAAGTTGCAGCATTAAATCGACCCACTTCCTTATAACTGCTTCTGTGGGGCCAAAACATGTTCAATCTTTTATTTCTTGCCCTTAGAAATGATTAAAGATGGGATTTTTAGTGCCATCCAGATGAATTGCCAAAATACAGGAAACGTGCACTTTCGTAAGCAGTGGAGGGAATGTACACTAAGGAGGCACCCCACTGTTCAATTGTTGTTTGAGATGATTGGCTCATAAACACTGCAGTTTCATCCATAGCAATCATGTTGGAAAGACTGTATTTAGAGAAGTCAGCATCATCAATAAAGGACTTGAATGCAAGTGCTTGCTTAATAACTTGAGTATCTTCCAACTTAAACAATGGTGTAGATCTTCTTAAAGACAGTTCACTTTGCTGAAGGAAATTATCCAGCCAGTGTTGTGATGCTTTGAAGTCTTCAGGGGCTATGTCAAACTGTGGTGCCATTGCAAGGGCAAATTCTTGAATCTGAGCCCTATTCACAACCAAAGCCTTTGCTCTCCTGTCAACAACCCATTCACAGATCAGGTCTTTCAGCTCGGAAAATAATGGTTGCCAACCTGATCCACACTTGCGCTTTTTAGCATTTTCTTTGTCCACTTGTTCAATGAGGTTACCATACTCTGCTCGCCATTTTCGGACCAATTGGATACTCAACATCTTCTCTTTGCAGAAAGCAGTAAGATTTTGGCCCCAAGAGTCTTCCATGATTCCTTTCTTGTACTCCAGAGTAGCTTTTTCTTTTTGCACTCATTTCTAGGGGTAAAAAAAAGGAATTGGGGTATCAAGGTGGGGGGAGGGGGATCACTTAAAATGACACAGGGGGGATCAGAGGGCAGAATCAAAATGGCACAGGAGAATCAGAGGGGGGATTACCAATTTAGTAACCCCTTTTAATCCTCTTGTGTCATTTTGATTGCTCCCTGATCCTCCTGTCATTTTAAGTGATCCCCCTCCCCCCACCCCTGTGCCACTGAAAACCTTCACCAGACATACCCCTACCCCTTTATCAGACATTTACCCCCTGGGGCATGCCTGAGGACTGTCAATGGGCTTGCTGGGGCCTGGATCTGGGCTGAAGCAGGGTCTGCCACTGACTGAGAACCTTCAGTCATCATGAGGGTGACCAGGAGCATCAGATAGTGTTACCAGAAACAGACCAGCATTTACCACCTTCACCGCGTCCCGTCTGCTCTAATCTTCCTGTTCTTCTACACGCATCTGCGAAATTCTCCTCTTTCCCACCCCGCGCTCACCGCTCACTCCGACTTCCGCTCACCTCCACACAGCAGTGACTTTAGGACTCCGCATAACCACTGGTTGCTAGACACCAGTCAGGGCGGCCCTAGCAACCAGTTTATGATAAATTAATTTTCATTCTGAGACAGAGCCTGGGGGGGCCTTATTTTCAGGGAGATGCCTTATTTCTCACTCAGAAGGAAACCTGTAAGTAGGTCTTATTTTTGGAGGATATTTTATTTTTGGGGAAACACGGTAGTAGTTATTCCAGCCAAATGAAAATAATGAAATGTTATATAGCATGTTAAATATAATTCTACGATCGGCCAGTGTAGCTCAGTGGTTGAGAGTTGATCCATGAACCAGGAGATTGTGGTTTGATTCAGGTCAGGGCACATACCTGGGTTGCTGGCTCAATCACCAGCCAATCAATGATTCTCATCATTGATGCTTCTACCTCTCCCTCTCCCTTCTTATAAAATCAATAAAAAAGATACTTAAAAAATTAATTCTGCTTCCTCCTGCCATGTTCAGTTCTGTGTCTCCCCCTCATACTAGTCATACTACATTTAGCATCTGATCAAATGTGTGACTTCTTTTAGATCATCAGTTTCACAAAATGCATGTGTTTGATAATGATGGTTCATAAATGGCAGTAAGGGTTCACAACAAAGGTTTCCCCAGAATAGTAAAAAGAGAAAGATAAAGCCCCTACAGTTAGTTTTTCATAAGCTAAATTCATTCAATATAAACAATTATCTTTTTATTCTCAGACTAGAGGCCTGGTGCATGAATTTGTGCACCAGTGGGGTCCCTTGGCCTGGCTTGTGGGATCAGGCCGAAACTGGTTTATAAGACGGTGTGGGCCAGGCCAAGGGACCTCACTGGTGCACAATCGGAGCCATGCAGGGACACGGAAGGTTGGCCAGCTGGGGAGAGACCATGTGAGGGCTCCAGGGCATGCCTGGCCCATCTCGCTCAGTCCTGATAGGCCAGACCCCAGCACCAAGCTAACCTACCAGTTGGAGCATCTTCCCTCTGGTGGTCAGTGCACATCGTAGCAAGCGGTTGAGTGGCCTTAGGATATCATTAGCATATTACATTTGATTGGTTGAACAGACAACCGGACATTTAGCATATTAGGCTTTTATCCTATCAGTTTTAAAAAAAAATGTCTATGTGTATACAATATAAAATGCTAGCAACTTTATGTCAGTCCTTGGGATTTATTTTAAAAAAAAACCTTTAAACTAAGCCCTGGCTGGGTAGTTCAGTTAGAATGTGGACCCAATACACCAAGGTTGTGGGTTCAAGAAACAACCAATTAATGAATACATGGATGAAACAACAAATTGTTGTTCTTCTCTCTTAAAAAGATAAAAACAAACCAAAAAGAACCTTGAAACTTAACGTGCTCTTCATAAGTCCTCATTCTCTCTGGCCTTGTGCTAAAAAAGGCTTCTAGAGTTAATTTGTAAATCCTGCCTTTTAGGAACAGTCCCTTCTGAAAATGGGGTCAATAACTAGAGGCTAAAGATCTCTGGGTGGAATTCACCCTGGAATCTGGAGCAAGGTCAGGAGGCTGTGAAGATGCACCATAAAACACTGGAAAATCCTCTCTGTGAACCGGAGATGACATTATAATCTAAGGTAAGCAGCCTTCTACGCAGGTAAAAGAAACTGAGACATGGTATTTTAATTGGTTACCATTCTAGGTTAAGCATATCTTCTCTTGAAAGTGAATGAGCTGACTGTGGCTTACCAATTTGTCCCTAATGACAAATGGCTGGTGGGAACATTTCCCTAGACTCTAGAGATAAAGAAAATTTGGTGTTGGACCCTTAACCTTACCGCAAGCTTAAGGCTCAGGCTCAATCAGGAGGTGGTCTTAGCCTTACAATAGAACCATTGGGTTCTCTAACCTAGTCCTGTGACTGTAAAAAGATAGCACGTTTGGCTCAGTGGATAGAGCATCAGCCCATAGACTCAGGGTTGTGGTTCAATTCCAGTCAAGGGCACATATCTTGGTTGCAGGCTTGATCCACAGCCCTGGTTGGGGTGCATGCTGGAAGCAACCAAACACTGCATCTCTCTGAAATAACTTCTCAACAAATATATTTAAAAGGCACCTAATTTATAATTTTTTTGATCTTCACCCAAGGAGTATTTTTTCCATTTTTAGAGAGTGGAAGTGGGGAAGAGAGAGAAACATCAATGAGAGACATATCCATTTGTTATCTTCCTGTGGGGATCCCACCTGCAACCCCAGGTACATGCCCTTGACCAGGAATTGAATCTGTGACCCCCTGGTGCACAGAGTTGGTGCTCTAACCATTGAACCATGTTGGCCAGGGCTAAAAGGCACCTAATTTAGAATTATTGTTAGCCCTAAAAAAAGATACTGCTAAAAAAAAAAAAAAAAGATACTATTGCCGAAACTGGTTTGGCTCAGTGGATAGAGCGTTGACCTGTGGACTGAAAGATCCAGTGTTCGATTCCGGTCAAGGGCATGTACCTGGGTTGCGGGCACATCCCCAGTAGGGGGTGTGCAAGAGCCAGCTGATTGATGATTCTCTCATCAATGTTTCTAACTATCTGTCCCTTTTCATTCCTCTCTGTAAGAAATCAATAAAGAATATTAAAAAAAACAAAAACAAAAACAAAAAGATACTGTTCATTTCATCATAAGGAAGTAGTGTTTAAATAGAAGCATCTAAAAAACAAAATACATTTTAGATGTCTATTTTCATATGACTTACAGGTGTGAAATATTTATGGAACAGTTTACAAATTAAGATAGTTTAGACCTTATGAAAAATAAAAACAAACTAATATGCACGTTTTTACAGAATAAAATGGAAATAAATAGGTGTTTCCTTTAATAGACTAAATTTCCACAAAATGACCATCCTCAAATATCACATCAATTTAATACTATTTATCTTACCTAATAAAAGAGAAACATGCAAATTAATCATCACTCCGCTACGCCCACAGCCAGAGTATGCAAATTAACCCAACAAAGATGGAGATTAATTTGCATATGCAGGCACAGAGCAGAGTGAAGCCTGCTATTAGGGGAAGGGGGGCAGCGGAGGGAGCTATTGGAGTGGTGCTTCAGACAGAAGCGAGGATGTGCCGGCTCTGGGCTGCCCAGGAGCAGGGAGCAGGGAGTTGCCGGCTCTGGGCAGCCAAGGAGCAGGGACTTGCTGGCTCCCTGGAGGCTGGGAGTGAGGCCAGGGGCCTATTCTTGCACGAATATCATGCAATGGGCCTCTAGTATTATATAATTAGCATACAGAAGATAAAAATGCTCAAAAGGGTGCAAATAAAGTTTTCAACAATTCTAAATATTTTCTACACTTTCAAAGATAGTTGATATTTTTCCAAAAGGGAAATATGCCAATGATAAAGACACATTTCTTTTAACTATATGAAGTGCAATATAGTTTCATGCTTGGTTTGTATTTACGTTGGGATCTTTCCATCTAGTTAATATCAAGAAATATCAAGTATAATATTTGTACAAATCCAACATGTACAACATTTTTAGAAACCTTATTTTCACTGAACCACAGGATATATTATAGTTCAAGAAACATTATAAATGCTCAGTGAGAAGTTATAAAGTCCCCAGCTTTCAAGTTACATTTACTTGGCATTGCTTTCATTAAAAAAACAACATATTATTGAGAATATTACAAATACCACCCCTTCCCCCACAATTGCCCTCATCCACCCAGTTTCTGTCCTGCCCCAGGCCTACACCACCCTATTGTCTGTGTCCATAGGTAATGCATATATGCATACAAGTTCTTTGGTTAATTTCTTCCTGCCCTTTCCCCCCTCCTTCCCTTTGAGATTCCTCAGTCTGTTCCTTGTTTCCATGCCTCTGGTTTTATTTTATTAACCAGCTTATTTTGTTCATTAGATTCTTTGTTCATTTGATTTTTTTACATTGAATTATTGATAGACATGTATTTATTGCCATTTTATTAATATTTTTATCTTTTTTCTTCTTCCTCTTCTTCTTTCTCTTAAAGAATACCTTTGACATTTCATGTAGTACTGGTTTGGCGATGATGGACTCTTTTAGCTTTTTCTTGTTTGTGAAGCTATTTGACCTTCAATTCTAAATGATAGCATTTCTGGGTAATCTTTTTTCTTTAATTTTTTTTATTCTTTTATTAAATTATTATCTGTGTACATATCTTACCATCCCCCTTCCCATTCATACCCTCCCTCCCGAGTTTTGTGTCCATTGGTTGCACTTATATGCATGTAAACAAGTCCTTTGGTTGATCTATTATCTCCCCCAGATCTTCCTCCCCTCCCCGCTGTAATTTGACAGTCTGCTTGTTGCTTTACTGTCTCTATATCTTTTGGTTCATCAGTTTATAATGTTCTTTATTATCCATAAATGAGTGAGGTCATGTGGTGTTTCTCTTTCATTGACTGGCTTATTTCACTCAGCATGATGTTCTCCAATTCCATCCAGGCTGTTGCAAATGATGAGAATTCCTTCTTTTTTATGGCAGCATAGTATTCCATTGTATAGATGTACCATTGATTTTTGATCCAATCACCTGATGACAGGCACCTAGGCTGTTTCCAAATTCTAACTATTGTAGATTGTGCTGCTATGAACATAAGGGTGCATATATCCTTTCTGATTGGTATTTCTAGTTTCTTGGGATATAATCCTAGGAGTGGGATTACTGGGTCAAATGGGAGTTCCATTTTCAGTTTTTTGAGGAAACTCCACACTGTTCTCCACAGTGGTTGCACCAGTCTGCATTCCCACCAGCAGTGCACGAGGATTCCTTTTTCTCTGCAACCTCACCAACACTTGTCGTTTATTGATTTGTTGATGTTGGCCATTCTGACAGGTGTGAGATGGTACTGCATTGTTGTTTTGATTTGCATCTCTCGGATAATTAGTGACTTTGAGCATGTTTTCATGTGCCTTTTGGCCTTCCTTCTGTCTTCTTTTGAAAATATTCTATTTAGGTCCATTGCCCATTTTTTAATTGGATCATTCGTCTTCCTTTTATTTAGTTGTATTTTTCTGGGTAATCTTGCTTGTAGGTCCTTGCTATTCATTACTTTGAATATTTCTTGCCACTCCCTTCTGGCCTGCATAGTTTCTGTTGAGAATCAACTGACAGTTGTATGGGTACTCTCTTGGAGGTAACTAACTGCTTCTCTCTTTGTCTTTAACCCTTGGCATTTTAATTGTGATGTGTCTTCGTGTGGGTCTCTGAGTTCTTCTTGTTTGGGACTCTGCTTCCGGCACTTGTAAGTCTATTTCTTTCACCAAGTAGGGGAAATTTTCTACAATATTTTTCAAATAGGTTTTCAATATCTTGTTCTTTCTCTTCTCCTTCTGGCACCCCCATAATGCAAATGTTGGTATGCTTGAAGTTGTCCCAGAGGCTCCTTATACTGTCTTCATATTTCTGGATTTTTTTTCTTTTTGCTCTTCTGATTGGGTGTTCTTTGCTTTTTCATGTTCCAAATCATTGATTTGATTCTCAGAATACTTTACTCTTCTATTGAGTCCCTGTAAATTATTCTTTTTTTCAGTTAGTATATACTTAATTTCTGACCAGTCCTTTTTCATGTCTTTGAAATTCTTACTAATATCCTTAAAAATCTCACTAAGTCCCTGAAGCTCTCATTAAGATCCTTGAGCATCCTAATAACCATTGTTTTAAACTCTGTATCTAGTAGTTTGTTTGCTTCCATTTCATTTGGTTATTTTTTTTGAGATTTCTTGTTTTTTCATTTGTGACATGTTTGTCTTCACCTTTTGTCTTCTTCCCTGTGTTTGTTTCTATATATTAGATAGGGCACCTATGTCTCCTGGAATTGGTAAAGTGGCCTTGTATAGTAGGTGTCCTATAGGGCCCAGTGGCTCAGCCTCTCCAGTCACCTGAGCTAGGCACTCTAGGTGTGCCCCTGTGTGGGTTTGTGCATAGTCTTGTTGTAGTTGAGCCTTGATTGCTGTTGGAGTCACTGAGAGGAATTGACCTTTAGGTCAATGGTTGTTAGGATCAGTTTCAACTACAATGGGAGAGCTGCTGAGCAGGAGACACCCCTATGGAGCAAGACTTGTTTCAGTGGGGCTTTGGTGCTCACTAAGTCTGCCCCTTGAGTGTGTTCCTTGTGGATTTGTAGAGTTGTAATCTGGCCACCACGTGCACTGGCTTTGGGGCTTCCTGGCAGGTGCAAAGTCAACCACTGCATGGGGCCACCTAGCAGGGGTTACAGAGAGATCTGCAGATCGTTTTTACTGTGTTGTGCTTGGAAGTGCTCAGGCAAGGACAAGCTGTGAAGCTACACAGGCCGGTGCTAGTGCTGGGTCTTAGGCCTTTTATTGATAGGTATGGAGCACACTGATGCCAACTGTTGCTTGTTTGAGAAATTTTAGAAAAGTCTGAAATCTGAACTACTAAAGACCATTCATATGGAAAAGTTGCTGCAAACAGCTTGTGTGGGGCTGCAAATAGAATGAAGTGGGGCCTCAGGGAGTCACTGGGGCTGAGTGAACCATACTGATAGAAACTCAGATATGGCTGCCAGTCAGTTCTATGATGGAGGAGGTCCCAGCACAGGATCAATGATCCCTGTGAACATCCCCATCTGGGAGGAAGCCACCTCAAAATCCCTACCCTGATGCCAGGCATTCCAGTTCCTTCCCATATGTCCCTGGATCCCCTAAAGCCACTGCCTGAGTGCTAGAGTCCAGAAGTATTGAGTCTGAATAAGTCCATGTGCTGGCCTTTTTAAGAGGGACTGCCTAGGTATCCAGCAGCCTCTGTGTCAGTCATAATCTCTGCTGATTTTTACAGCCTAAAGTATGGGGGACTTCTTTTACTGGCACTGGAAGCCTGGGCTGACAATTCTGGTATGGAGTTGGGAGCCCTTGCTTCTCACAGGAAACCTCATTGACTTGATATCACTCCCAATTAAAACCATGCCATATGAGGGTGTCAGACCAGCCTGTTCTGCACCTCTGCCCCTCCTACCAGTAGGATGTAGACGATAGATGTTGGTCTCTCACATTGATGTTTCTCTTTTCCCCTTTCCCTTCCCTTCTCTCTAAAGTCAATAAAAAAACATGTCCTTGGATGATTAAAAAAAATTCTTTAAAAGATGTAAAATATCTCATAATTTATATTGATTTTATATTAAAATAACACCTTGTATTTAGATTAAAATATACTAGTTTTACTTATTTAGTTTTTAAATGTTTACTACAATGTTTTAAATTAATGTAGATGGCTAACATTTCTATTGGACAGAACCACTTTAGAAACTCAGTAGAGAGGGTAATTTTTTTAAAGCGAAAAAAAAAAATGGTCTTTACTTATGATAGCTCTACAGGGTTAACACGTGTCTTTGGACATTTTGCACAAATGCTAGAGACACAAGTACAAACCACCTGCAGCTGCTGCCTGGGTGTCATGAACATCCGCCTGTACTTTGGAGGTCACACTAATTCTTCGGGCTTTCCTCTCAACTGTGCAAGGGTCTGGTGAGTCTGCATGAGACAAAGTGAAGTTACTTAAAAGGATCAAGCCATTCATTTGGAAGTATTGTTGGGTGCACAAAAATCTCTCACAGGATATGCACAATTGAGTGCTTACCCCTTCTACTACCTCATGTTATCTTTCATTTTTCTGTGAGGACCAGTGCCATATTTAATACTGCTTTTCCAACCTATACAAAGCAATGGCTTTTCTGACTTTTTCTATTCTCTCCTACTATATGGAATACATGCCTTCTTTCATCAGTTTCCCACTTGCTCATTGTTTAGGGTTACAAACTCAGTAATGAAATGTCAAAGTGAAAGCAAAATTTGAGATACTATACTTTAGCAAAGCCATGATTAAGAAATAGTTATTGGAAAATTATGGGTTGAAGATAGACTGTACATGTAAGGCTAACCAAAGAATCCATTATAATAATAACATTAAACTACAGCATTTTAAAATTAAGAAACAAGCAGTTCTGCCCTGGCTGATGTGGCCAGTGGTTATAGTATTGGTCCTTGAACCAAAGGGTTGTGAGTTTGATTCCTGGTCAAGGGCACGTGCGGGAGGCGACCAATAGATGTGTCTCTCTCTCTCTCATAGATGTTTCTCTCTCTCTCTTCTCTCCTTCCCTCTACATCCCCTTCTATCCCCCTTTTATTCTCTCTGAAAAAGCAATGGAAAAAAACTTCCTCCAGTAAGGATTAGCAACCCAAAAAGAAAAATAATAGCAGTACTTGAGTTCTGCCAGCATGGCTCAGTGGTTGAATGCCGACCTATGAACCAGGAGGTCACGGTTTGACTCCTGAGGGCACATGCCTGCATTGTGGGCTCGATCCCCAGTGTGGGGTGTGCAGGAGGCAGGCTTTCAATGATTTTCATCATTTATGTTTCTATCTCCCTCTCCCATACTCTTTGAAATAAAAAAGAATTGGTTCTTGAAAAATCAGAACCAATTCAGAATAATACTATGTACTGACAATAAATGCTCCTCAGTCATTTCATAAATTTCAAATACCTACATGTTCTAAAAGCCCAGCAGATACTTTCTAATAATGGATGTTAGGCATTCCAATTTTGTGCTAGAATACTATGTATATCATTTTATGGTTTATCAGTAAGTAGTCCTTTGTAATAATTAAAAACAAGAAATGACAAACTTCATAGTATTTGTCCCTACAAACCAAAAAAATACCTTGCATTTTCTAATCTGTTCTTAGCCCATAAGCAGTTCCCCTAGTACAATCCACCTTTGGAAATCAGTGCTCCAGAATCCTAAGTGTGTTGCTTAGGTACTAAAGCAGTCCATTATCAGAATGAACAAAACAGAGTAAATTTCTCCTCAGGCTTCAAAGACTAAGGTAAAGTTCGACTTCTTAGATTTTTAAAAGTACTTTATAGCATCACATGCCTCCTTCTTACTGACCCTTACTTGGCTTATGTATTTTATAGCATTGATCACCTCTCTGGTGCACAGACTGGATCAGAACAAGGTCAGGTGGCCAAGACAACTAGGAACAGCATTCAAATCATGGGACACCAAGGTCAGTGCACTTACCAGTATCAGTTACCAATGACAGGGTGGGAGCAGCGGGGCTTTCTGAATCAGCTGAGGAGCTCATATACAAACTGTACTGTTTAACTACAAAATCCAGTGCAAATTTCTGTCTCCCTTGGTATCTCTCATTCTCTCTTTAGTTATCACACTTACTATTCAGATAATCAGATAAATATCTATATACCACTTGGATTTCTAGTATGTAATTATAATGACCCCAATACATTTATTCTAATAAAACAATTCTACATTTTACTTGCTTTTTAAGTTTAAGTGGTAGACAAAGTTTTCATCAAACTAGGTAAACTTTAAAAGGACAATTTAGTTCTAGAAAAAAGAGACACTCTGTGTTTAAAAGAAAACAAATTTGACTTCGTAGAGAAAAAACAAATAGCTTTTATAAATCTGTTATGAAAAACTTCCTAAAGAATTATAGAATTTAATCAAGTTCTATTTATAAACTTTAGTAGAAAAAGGTGAAAGGTTTAAAAAACTACAGGATATATAACAGTATCATTTTATACTCTCACCAACAGTCTCAGGAGGAAAAGTAGATATTAAACAATAAAATAATTAGATAAAGTTCAATTAGATTTCTAAAGTAGATCCATTTATAGTAAAGATGCTACTTTAGAGGGCTTTCTATTCTACTTTTTATTATAACTGTATATATAGAGTACAAGCCACTTGGGATTTGAGATTATGTCTTACCTTTATAGCATCAAGCATCTACTACATAATCCATCCACACATTTAAGAAAATGACTGTATTTGGAATCCCATTATAACTAACTCTAAGGGACTATCCAATATCACTTGTAGCAAATTTTGTTAGAATTAAAAGTACCATGGAAAAGAGCCTTTTTAGTGTGAAGATACTTTTAAGGAGTTAGATGAAGCTTGATATTAACGGAATATTAATGCAATCCTTGCACAATTCCCAGCTGAAAAATATATCAAACAGAAACCTCCCACCTCAAATACATGGTGTTGGTCTCAAAGACAGAGGCCGAATGACATTTGCAAAAATTCTGCCACCACTGGTAGAAAACTCTGAGTATATTGGCTCCTTATCTCTAAGAAATTTTCCTTTATTTTGTTACTCAATTTCAAGAGATAACCAGTTCTGATACACACACACACACACACACACACACACATATATATATATATATATATAATTCAGCTTATTCTATCTTGAATTTCATATAAACAGAAATTCATTTATTCTTTTGTATTTGATTTCTTTCATTCAGCATTATGTTGTTGAGATTTATGTATCAGTAATTCAGTTTTTGTTTTTGTTTTTTCTTAGTTTTATTCCATGGCATGATTATATCAGTGTTTATCCATTCACATTTTGATGTACACTTGGGCTATTTCTAGTTTGGGGTTATTGTGATTAAAAATTGTATGAATCTTCTAAAAAACAAGTCATTTGTAGATACACATTTTAGATTCTCTTAGATAAATCTTCAGACGTAGAATTGTTGATGGGCTATAGGGCAGATGAATGGTTTTACAAGAAATAGCTTGTTTTCCAAAATTTGGGATTTTAGCCATTCTGGTGAGTGTGAAGTGGTATCTCAGGATTTTAATTTGTGTCTCACTAATGTCTACTCAGGCTAAGCATTTTCATGTGCTTATTGGCCATTTATATATATACTAGAGGCCCAGTGCTCAAAATTCGTGCACAGGTATGGTTCCTGTGCCTGGCCTGCAATCATGGCTGAAACCGGCTCTCTGACATACCCCAAGGGATCCTGGATTGCGAGAGGGTACAGGCCAGGCCGAGGGACTCCATTGGTGCATGATGGGGGCCAAGGAGGGACATAGGAGGTTGGCCAGCTGGGGAGGGACTGCAAGAGGGCCCCAGGGTATGTCCAGCCCGTCTCACTCAGTTCCAATCTGCCGGACCCCAGCAGCCAGCTGACTTAGCGGTTGGAGTGTCTGCCTCCTGATGTTAGTGCATGTCACCGCAACTGTTCTATTGGATGCTTAGGCTTTTATATATATGGTAAATTCTTTTGTGAAGTGTCTGCTTGAATGTTTTACTCTCTTTTTTATACTCTTTTTTAAAAAAAATATTTTTTATTGATTTTTTACAGAGAAGAAGGGAGAGGGATAGAGCTAGAAACATTGATGAGAGAGAAACATTGACCAGCTGCCTCCTGCACATCCCCTACTGGGGATGTGCCCACAACCAATGCACATGCCCTTAACTGGAATTGAACCTGGGACCCTTCAGTCCACAGACCAACGCTCCACCACTGAGCCAAACCAGTTTCGGCTATTTTTTATACTCTTGATTCCAATTCTTTATCACATATGTTTTGTGGATATTTTCTTTCTCCTTTACTTTAATATTGTATTTCTGAGCTAAACCCAACAAAATCATGATGCATTATCTGTTTTATATATTGTAAATATTTTATGAAGGACTTTTTGCTTTTATGTCCATGAGTGGTATTGATCTATAATTTTGTTTTCTTTTGGGAGTAGTGGGTAGGTAATGTCTTCACTGGGTCTTGGCATTGGGGTTCTTCTGCTGGCTCCATTAAAAAAAAAAAGGGAAGTTTCCCTTTCTATTTTCTCAAAGAGTTTCTGTAAGACCGGTATTACCTCTTCCTTCAATGTTTGATAGTCTGGACTTTTCTTTGTGGGAAAATTTTTGATAACAGATTTAATTTCTCATAGATGTAAAGTTATTAATATTTCCTATTTCATCTTGTTTTCAGTTTTGTAGGTTATATTTTTCAAGAAATGTGTCAATTCCATCTAAGGTGTTGAGTTTATTGGCATAAAAATGGTCATCACATTCCCTTATTTATGTTCTCTTTTTTAATAAGTTGACTTTAGAGCTTATTGATTTTTATCTTTGAGAGATCAAACTTTTGACTTTGTTATCTGTTTTCTATCTCATTGACTATTCTTATTTTTCCTTCTACTTTTAAGGTGTAATATTAGGTCACTGATTTTAGATTGTCTTATACCAGCATTTAAAGCTATAAATATCCTTCTAAGCACCACTTTAAGTATTGTGTAGTAAAGAATTTGACCTTGCCCAAAGAGAAGTCTAGCTTTATCCCCAGCTCCTGGGAGATAACCTCTAAAATCTTGAAGTTTCCCAAGTGATAGAAGTGTCTTTGCTATTTATGGTGGGACCTTCAGACCATACCTGAGAGTTTATGCTAATGAGGTGGTTCAAAGTGGACATATTGTCCACCATTTCTTACCAATTTGGTTCTCTGTTGGCAGGTAACAACTTTTTAAATTTTTTTTATTTTTACTTTTTGAGAAAGGAAGGGAGAGGGAGAGAGGGAAACATCTATGTCAGAGTTGATTGATTACCTCCTGTACATCCCCTACCAGGGATCAAATCCCACAACCTGGGCATGTGGCCAGACGAGGAATTGAGCCAGCAATCTTTTAAAATATATATATTTTATTGATTTCAGAGAGGAAGGGAGACAGAGAGAAATATAGAAACATCAATGATGAGAGAGAATCATTGATCGGCTGCCTCCTGCACACCCCACACTGGGGATCAAGCCTGCAACCCGGGCATGCACCTTGACCGGGAATTGAACTGTGACCTCCTGGTTCATAGATTGACACTCAACCATTGAGCAACACCGCCCGGGCTGAACCAGCAATCTTTTGGTACATAGGACAATTCCCAACTAACTGAGCCACAACAGCCAGGTCCCAGATAACAACTTTTTAATGTACTCTCTTAAGGGATTCCTCCATGACAGCCCTTGAACCAATTAAAGTTTGTCTGTTGTATTACCATTAACTAATGCTTTCTTTGTAGACATTAGACAAACTCAAGTTTAAAGACTCATATTATTAACCCAAATGAGAGGTTGGGTGCACAAAATTTGTGCACAGGAGGGGGGTTCCCTCAGCCAAGCCAGCACCCTCTCCAATCCAGGATATCCCTCTCACAATCCAGGACTGCTGGCTCCTAACTGCTCAACTGCCTGCCTGCCTGATTGGCCCTAACTGCCCCCCCAGGCCAGCCTGATCACCCCTAACTGCCTCTGCCTGCCAGCCTGGTCGCCCCTAACTGCACCCCCTGCTGACCTGGTTGACTCCAACTGCCCCTGATCATTTTAACCATCTATACTAATAATATAGGAATATGCAAATTGTCCAGGACACCATCACATTAACAGTAATGACCTAATAGCAGGCTGTGTGGGGTGACAAGGCTGGCATGGAGGCTAGTGATTGGTCATCCCCAATGGCTCTCCTGGCTGGCCTGGTAGTCCCCAACAGCCTGCCCCCACCCGCCGGCCTGGTTGCCCCATGCATCCTGCTGTTCGGTCGTTTGGTCGTCCCTCAGTAACGCCCCTGCTGGCCTGGTCACCTCACACACCCTGCTGTTCAGTCGTTTGATCGTCCTTCACTAACACCCCTGCCAGCCTTGTTGCCCCACGCAGCCTGTTGTTCGGTCGTCACTGTTACTATGACGGTGTCCTGAACAATTTGCATATTCCTCTATTATTAATATAGATGGGTAAAATGATCAATGATATATAACCCAGTGACTTTCAATTTGAAACTGTATATAATGTTGCCACAGTGCCAAACTGGTACTGGGCAGTCATCCACTAAGATTCTTCTTTGTGCCATTTTTAGAAATTAGTAAGCTATTTTAAATGCAGAGGAGTTGAAACAGCCATGGCTGTATTAAACAATAAAAAGAACAGATACTGTGTTGCAAACTATAAATGAAATACTTAAAACGCATAGAAAGTTGTTTAACCAAAATTTAAGTAATTTAGCTCAAAATTATTTAGATAAGAATGTATAAAATTCCTTGATTTATAATAATTCTGATGATATTTAAAAATATTATACTCTTAGGTATTTTCATTTATTTATTTTCATTTATTTATTTATTTATTTATTTATTTATTTATTTTATTGATGTTTTACAGAGAGGAAAAGAGAGAGGTAGAGAGTTAGAAACATCGATGAGAGAGGGACATCGATCAGCTGCTTTTTGCACACCTCCCACTGGGAATGTGCCCACAACCACGGTACATGCCCTTGACAGGAATCGAACCCGGGACCTCCCAGTCCGCAGGCCAACGCTCTATCCACTGAACCAAACTGGTCCCAGCTCTTTGGTATTTTTTTAAGTAAGACATTCACCACTGTTACATATATATGTCTTCATGATCAATCTTTTTAAGTTGCCTAAAGCCTTAAGGATTATGTTCTGAAATGCATACTTTATCTCTGTCTTAAGAATTATATTTATAAAATAACATGGGTTATTAATAAGAATGGGGCAGAAAGGGTTTAAATTTAATGACATTTAAATTTTGAATTTTGAATTTGTCTGGCAGGGAGGCAATTGGGAGCAACCAGGCCGGCTGGGGGTGGGGAGATGCGTTGGGGGCAACCAGGCCGACAGGGGGTGGCCACTGGGGAAAGAATGTCAATTAAACATTTGGTACACAAAAATAAGAGATGTGATACCTTTGATATTATATGGGAATGATTGAACAATTATTCAAAAGTGATTTCTCTAAATCTGGGATTTATGTAGGATATGTTATGCTCCCCTGTGAAGTAACCTTAGATAAACTGCAGATCAAACTTTCCATTCTAACACAAGACCTTTAAAATTCTCATTATTTTGAAAGAATTATTTTTTTTAGGATTATAGTTTTTACAGTAAATTTTAACTATATAATACAGTTTCAATTTTAAAAAAGTAAATTATATATATTCCATTTAATTACTTTTGACAGTAATTCCAGGAGTTAATTTTAAACTTTGGGGACATTTTAAATATTGCCATAACAACATCAATATGGTAACTTTAAAAAAATATTTTACTGATTTTTTTTACAGAGAGGAAGGGAGATAGAGAGCTAGAAACGTCGATGAGAGAGAAACACCTACCAGCTGCCTCTTGCACACCCCCTCCTGGGGATGTGCCCGCAACCAATGTACATGCCCTTGACCAGAATCGAACCTGGGGCCTTTCAGTCCGCAGACCGACGCTCTACCACTGAGCCAAACCGGTTTCGGCAAATATGGTAACTTTTTTGCTGAACAAATTAATGAGTATCTCTAGTGGAAATTTCTTCAGCTATAAATGTGAACTCCCAAAGAATTTTCATATTTATTTGTATGATTATTTTTGACATTTCCCTACTCACCTTTTTTAGATGGCTTGGGTGGTACCACCGGGCCAGGTTCTATGTTGTCATAAAAATTATTCATGGCTTTTGGATCAAAGTTTCCTATAAAAAAAATAAAATCACCAGGTATTCAGAGTTCTCCTATTATTTGAACTTTTTGTTAAGGAAAATATGAAAATAAAACATGTAAGAAAGGAAATTGTTTTCCAGAGTTTCAAAACTCACATTACCCTACTCTTTCCACTGAAATTGTTTTATCATTCTGAGAAGAGACATAAGCAAACTGGCATACCAGTGTCTGTCTACAGTGTTCACCTAAAGGAATATTTTTCTAACTGCAAAGCTAGTCTTTTTAGGCAGTGTTAAGCATGTGGTGCATATAGAGAGGTAAATGAAGGAGAAAAATGAAAGGTTGGCTGAACTGTTTTTTTCTTTGTTTATTTTGATTTTAATGAACAAACCATAAGAAAGAAGATCTAAATAGCGAAAGCTCACCATATCTTTCATAATTTACCTTAAAATTTTATCTATTATTCAACTGTCAAAGAACCCAAATATATACATTTACAAAGATTTTTCAAGTTTTATGTGATCTGCTCAGTTCATGGATTCTTATCTTAGAAAAAAAGGAAAATCTTGTCACCTCTACAGATTTGCCAATTTCAGAATAATAGAACAATCCCTAAGAATTTTGTCTTGCCACAAAATTTTCATCCCTCTTAAAGCGTTCATTCATTCCTTGATCTAGTGTCTATTTCAGCCCCATCTCCTGTCAGGACTCCTCCAAGGTCAGTTTTGATCTAGGGCCGGCTTTTGGTCCTACCTTCAATTCTGTGACCCTATCACTGCAATCTATTTATTCTTCACAATTCCAATTAAGCTTTACAACTGTACAGATGGTTATTTCCAGAGGATCCCTATACGGCACTGATAAAGTTCAAATGGTTTTCCTCACCAAAATCAACAATAAAGCTGTTTTTCATGAAATCATGCACTGCCCTGGCCAGTGTTACTCGGTTGAGCATTATCCCGTCCACTAAAGGGTTGCTGGTTCAATTCCGAGTCAGGGCACATGCCTGGGTTGTGGGCTTGGCTCAATCCCTCATCACTAGTAGGGGGTGTGCAGGAGGCAGCCAATTGATGTTCTTTCTCACACTGATATTTTCCCTTTCATATTGATGTTTCTCTCCATCTAAAAGTCAATTTTTAAAAAACCATGCACTGATTTACATCTAATCTAAATATTCCCCCAAATGTCTAGATTCCTTCTGTCATTTAAAAATTTAATTAGAGCCCAGCCAGCATGGCTCAGTGGTTGAGTATCAATCTATGAACCAGGAGGTCAGTTTTATTCTCACGTCAGAGCACATGCCCAGGTTGCGAGTCTGATCCCCAGTAGGAGGTGGGCAGGAGGCAGCCGATCAATAACATTTCTATCTCTCTCTCCCTTCCTCTCTGAAATTATACATATACATATACATATACATATACATACATATATATACATACACTAGAACACTAAAGATGTTCAACATCAACTAGATTAAGGTAGAAGAAAGGATTAAGTGGCCTCAAAAAATAGGGTAGTAGCCTTGCCGGCTTGGCTCAGTGGTTGAACTTGGACCTATGAACCAGAAGAAGGTCATTCAATTCCCAGTCAGGCACATGCCCTGGTTGTGGGCTTGATTCCGTGTGGGTCATGCAGGAGGCAGCTGATGATTGATGATTATATCTCATCATTGATGTTTCTTATCTCTCCCTTCCTCTCTGAAATCAATAAAAATGTATTTTTACAGAAAAAATATATTTTATAAAGTTTAGATTAGAAATTACATAAAAGAAATTCATATAAAATGTCTTGAGAGCATAAAATAGAGACTTAGAAATGCTTAACCACCAAAAAGAGCTCTTTGTTGCTCAATGAAGACCAAAACACAGCTCTTCACTTATAAAATCTTAATAGTGGTTTCCCTTGCAGGTCCTATTACAAATGCTTTTATCCATTTGGCTATGCTATTTTAAGATATTTTCTGAAAAGAATTCCTATGACGGCTCATGAAAGCCACAATGCTATTTTAATATGCTAATTGGATCTTTTTATGCTTTATGATGCTGCATATGTATTTCTTCAATTACTTATGTTACAGATGATGTTCTAATTTCTAGATCCCATTAGGCTTACTATAAATATCCTAACCAAATGTTTAAGTATTTGTTTTGCTTTAAAGAACACACAAGCAAAAAAAAAAAATCAATGTTGTCTTCTAATATAGTAGCAATAGTTTGTATAGCCCCCACATTATGCATAGTAATTCTTTCATTGCTGAAAGCGAGTAGGCTGTAGAGTAACTATGTTTCTGAAAATAACTTTAAGGGCACCTAAGTAAATTGTTCAACTTTCATATTCAAATTTACTTTTATTCAGATATGTTCCATATTTTTTTAGGTTCCCCTGTTTCTACTGTTTAGGCTTGTCTAAAAATAGCAATGTGGTACTTTATGTATATCTCTTAAAATACAGTAGTAGCTCTCTTAGCTGCCATAATTAAGAACAGTAACACGAATTAAGAAAAATTACACACCTACTTTAATGTAACAAAACATATAAATATGGCCAAAACTGGTTTGGCTCATTGGATAGAGCGTCAGCCTATGGACTGAAAGGTCCTGGGTTTGATTCCGGTCAAGGGCATGTACCTTGGTTGCGGGCACTTTCCCAGTAGGGGGTGTGCAGGAGGCAGCTGATCGATGTTTCTAACCCTCTATCCCTCTCCCTACCTCTCTGTAAAAAATCAATAAAATATATTTAAAAAACAAACAAACATATAAATATGGCTATATTTTAATGATGGGCCAAGATCTTTACTTGTTTGTTGACTGGGGGTTTTGTATTTTCTTTCCTATATAAACTACACCTGTGATGAGCTAAAGTATGGTGAGCAAACTTTTTCTGTAAAGGGAGATGATAAACACTTTAGATATTGTGGACCTGTAATACAGGTCTCTGTTGCAAGCCCTCAATTGTGCCATTAAAGCACAAATGCAGCCTGAGCATCGACTGTGAGGTCATGGTTTGATTCCTGGTCAATGCAAATGCCTCGATTGCTGGCTCAATCCTCAGTGTAAGGCAGGCAGGAGGCAGCCAATCAATGATTTTCTCTCATAATTGATGTTTCTCTCTCCTCCTCTTTTCCTCTCTGAAATCAATTAAAAAACACACAGAAGCAATCCAAGGCAATATATAAATGGGCATGGCTATGTTCCATTAAAATTTTATTTAAAAAGATAGGAAGCAGGTCCTGGCCAGTTTCTCTCACATTGATATTTCTCTCTGTCTTTCCCTTTCTCTTCCATTCTTAAAGCCAATGAAAAAATATCCTCGGGTGAGGATTAAAAAAATAATAAAAATCAATACTAATAAAAGGGTAATATGCTAATTAGACCAGGAAACCTTCTGGACACCCTTCCAGACAAAGCCATGGTGGCGGGGCTGAGGCAGAGCTCTTAGGGGTGATCAGGCCAGAAGGGGAGGGCTGTTGGGAGAGCAGACCGGCAGGGTTGGGGGGGAAGCAGTTGAGGGCTATCAGGCTGGCAGGAAGAGTGTTAGGGGTGATCAGGCAGGCAAGTGAGAGTTAGGAACCAGCAGTCCTGGATTGTGAGAGGGATTGGGCCTAAACCAGCAGTTGGACATCACCCGAGGGGTCCCATATTGGAGAGGGGGCAGGCCAGGTAGAGGGACAACCCCCCCGAACCCTGCACGAATTTCATGCACCAGGCCACTAGTAAATAAATAAAAAGACAGGCAGCAAGCTAATTTGCTGAACTCTGATCTATAATTTCTTGTTTTTGTTTCTTTAGCACCCTAGCTGGTTTTGCATTCAGTGGTTAGAGGGTTGGTCTGCAGACTGAAGGGTTGTGGATTTGATTCGGGTCCTGGGTAGGGGCGAGTGTGGGAGGCAACCAGTTGATGTGTCTCTCTCACATTGACGTTTTTCTCTGTCTCTCCCCCTCCTATTCTCTCTCTAAAAATAATTAATGGAAAAAATATCCTTGGGTGAGCATTAACAACAACAAAAAAGGCATTTGCCTTTAATTTTTATAGGAAGAGCAGCTTCTCCTGCCTTCATGCCAATTTAGTAACTGGCATAAACAGGTTTAGGAACTGGCACAAGTGACTCTTGGTAAGCAGACAATTGCACTGATGGGAGCAATAGTAAGAACATCTTGACCCTGGTGAGCTGGGTAAACAAAAGTCAGTTAAGAGAGCTTCTACTGTAGTACATTCTATAAGAAAGCAACCCCCCCCCAAAACAAAACAAAACAAAACAAAAACCCCACCACAACAAACAAAAGACCCTCAAACTTTAAGATATAGCTGGATGTTTTAATTTAACAGGTTACATTAAAAATGGCAAATGGAAATTACTTTAAAACTGAGAAATCGATATTCTGATTTGGGAGTCCCTATTTTCACAAATATTTAGATGATTCACATAATATGAATTTACTAAGTTTCAGAATTAAAACTTATAAAATCAACTTATAAAATATATACAGTAAATGACTAAAAGAAGATAAATACAGAATTAAAACAGAATAGTCTTAATGATGAAATTACCAAAGTAAAACTATTTTTTGATCCCCCAATCCAATCTATTACCATGGCTGGAGTGATCTCTTTTACCAGGATTATAATCTTATGATGGACAAAAACTATTTCTTAAATCTATAAAACCAAAATGATTGCTATTTAAGCAGCTTAAAATACCACACTATTACTTATGATTTACCAAATAATCAAATCTATACCTCTAGATTGAAGGAGGTCAACTTCTTTCAGTGTACAGTCAACATTTATCTGGAGTTGTCTGTTCATGCTTCTCAATCTTGTCATTTCCTCAGGCTAGTAAGAAAGGACCCAAAATAGCAATTGTGGGAAAGTCATTATCAAGCCCAACATTTAAGAACTGCTATTCATTTTAATTGTTCTGACTGGTTATTACCAAGAAGATGGCCTTAATCCATAAGAGGGCATGATTAAGAAGTCTTATAATTTTCAAGGAATAGTCAGATAAAATGGGAATATCAGTATGGCCACGTATAAAAAATCTGCAATAACGTGGCAAGCTACAATACTAGATTGTTCTATCATACAAAATACTACCATTTTAATTAGAGAGCACTGAAAATGTTTTATTTCTATGTTTTCATAATAAGGGAAACTGTAGTAAGTAGGAACCTTTTAAACAAGCCACATCCATGATTTTAATTTTGTCTAGGGATAGTTAAAATTACAACGGTATTGCTCAGCCACTATGGCTTGGTGGTTGAGTGTTGACCCATGGACCAGGAGGTCAGGTTTGATTCCCATTCAGGGCACATGCTCAGGTTACGGGCTCAATCCCAGTAGGGGGTGTACAGGAGGCAGCCAATCAATGATTCTCTCTTATCAATGATGTTTCTATCTCTCCCTCTCCCTTACTCTCTCTGAAATCAAGAAAAACATTAAAAAAAAAAACTACATTACAACAATACTAATTTTAATTAACACTGAGTGCCAGGTACTGTGTTCACCAGATTTCTCTCATTTTTTCCTCAAAACAATTTTTCAAAGTAAGTACTAAAATCACACACAATTGAGGATAGTGGAGGCACAGAGGTTATATAATTTTCCCAAGGTTACCAACCTACTACTTAGGCCTTTCAAGACATACATGAGACACTAAAATGTGAAGAGAGTCCCGTTCTTCAGTTAGTTTTTTGGAAGCCTTTATTTCCTCTGACATTCTAAATTCGTTTACTATTTTACATATATGTACAAGAAAAAAATTAGGGTTTAGACTCCAGAGGCATAGGTACTGAAGCTTTCAGCACAGCCTGGATATTAGCTCAGTTTCTAAGGTGATTCTGTAAAGTAAAAGATAAAAATCTGCTATGATAGGAAAACAAAATAAAATCTCACTCTTGAAAACACGTATTTTGCTAAAAACTAAATACATTGTAAGAGTGAATAAACAAGAGCAAAAAGGGTTATTTTCATTCACAATAATGTAAGACCTTATGCTTAGGAAGTATTACTAGAATAAGTGGGAATGCTCTCTAAATTAGCAGGTATCAAAAGTTTAAAATAGTAAGAGCTACAATCCCTTAGAATGCCAGAGGAACATAAAAGTCATTTAGAAACATTTATTAGGGACTGCTTTTCTTTTCTCATTGCTATGGGTAAAGCATGTGACTGATGCTATCTTCCTAGGAATATGTGAAAGAACCTATTTTTCTTTGTAGAATTATATCAGCAAAGTCAAGTACCTGAAGGAGCTGATCTTTCCTATATATTGGGGTGGGAGGAAACGTTTTAGCCAAGGTGTACCTGAATAGTCAAGCTCTGTAACTAAGTATGCAAATATTATAATACACATTATATGAAGAGACTACTGCACATTTGCTTATAACAACAACAATAACAACAAAAGCTCTTATCAACAGGCTCATTTCCGGAGAACCACTGGAACTCACTAAACTGTTTAACTATAAGATTCCTATGTCCTTTTCTGAAGCTTCTGATTGAGGGGGAAAAGCTATTTTTGAACATCATTACATTTGTCAAAAAGTACAGTTTTTCATGTAGAAGGGGTTTTGAGATTGGCTGTACATAATTTACAGTTGTTTGTAAACTACCAGAATGTTTATAGCTACACTTTTTTTTTTCCAAAAAGTGACATATTTTGAGCCTACTGTTTCAGCACTTTAGGAAGCTGTCTCACAGAGATCAATGTTGAAGACCACTGATGGTCTTAGGTGCCTTGGCCCCAATTATGCATCTGAGAATCAAAGCTGTGGGTTAGTCCACAAGCCCAATTAGTCAGAACAAGATGAATGGGAGAAAAACTTGGGGGAGTGGGTAATTAACAGCTCTCTGCCTATTAAAATCTTACTTCTCCTTCAAGGTATAACTTAGATTTTCCCCTTCTCCATGAAATTGTCTCATCTTTGAACATTACCAGCAAAAAACTAACATTTCTATCTCTGAACTGGGAAGCATTTAATATTATTTATTATTCAGTTGGCAAGCACTTCTGATTTACTATCTCTCTCTCTCTCTCTCTCTCTCTCTCTCTCTCTCTCTCTCTCTCACACACACACTCACAGACATATGTATATTTTTTTACATACAGATCTCTTTAATAGATGGCATCTCTCACAGCCTTTAATACAATGCTTTGAATATAGTAGATTGAGAAAAATTATGCTGGGCATGCATCTTATACTTTTGCCCTCCTTCTTAGCTCCTCTAAGTTTCTGTAACTGTACACAGAGTTGGTCAGGAGTGTGCATTCCAGTCTCATTAGTCACACTTTTAACAAAATTTTTATATACTGCTTGATAAAAAAAATAAATTGATGTGAAAACATGACGGTAGCAATACACGCTTCATAGCAAAAAAGTCAATTCTCTATTACATAATCCTATGTGACTGGACAATGATAAGTAAGGATAGCCATTTACTGAGCACCTACAACATGACAGCCATTTTAAATAATTTGTCTTTTTATTAAAGTGTACTTGTTATAATTCCCTTCTCTAGTTATGGAAAATCAACTGCAGAGAAATTAGATATAACCTGTGAGTGCCAGAGCTGTTTTGACTCCAGAGCCTATGTGGGCACACTCTTTCAACTGTCATGTGCCTCAAATGAGCCTGTATGAAGGAAAAGGAGATTCTGACAAAATCCTTTGTTTTCAGATTTCCTATATATGCCTTGTGGTATGCATGTTCCTGAAGTTAAAAGGAAATTATTTTTACAAAACACTTCAGATTTGTTTATCTCAAGTATATTTTCCAGTATCTTGCAACCAACATTTATTTTATACCATTTGTTGAACATTATATAAATTATTTAATGTGTTATTTAATCCTAACAAAAATCCCAACAGTATAACCAATGGACACAGACACTGGGGAAGTGGGAGCTTGTCTGGGGTGGGAATGGCTGGGGGAGAGGGGGTGTCAATTGGGTTAAAAGACATATGTAAAATTTTAGACAATAAAAAAAATGAAAAAAATAGCCCTGACCAGTTTGGCTCAGTGGATGGAGCATCAGCCTGGGAACTGAGGGGCCCTGGGTTCGAGTCCAGTCAAGGGCACATGCCTGGGTTGTGGGCTCGATCCCCGGTGGGGGGTGTGCAGAAGGCAGCTGACCCATGATTCTCTCTCACCATGGATGCTTCTATCTCTCTCTCCCTCTCTGAAATCAATAAAAATATATTTTTAAAAAATGAAAAAAATAAAAATAGTACAATCAATCAATCATAAGAATAAAAAAGGAGAAACAATTGTAATAATCTGAGCAATATTTATTAAATTGAAAAAAAAGAATAAAAAAAATCCCATCAAATGGGTACTGGCATATCTATATATATAAAAGCCTAAGCGACTATCGCAACTGAATGGATGACCAAACAGGCTGCATGGGGCGACCAGGCCGGCAGGGGGGTTAGTGAGGGATGACCAAATGACTGAACAGTAAGCTGTGTGGGGTGACCAGGCTGGGAGGGGGGACAGTGAGGGGCGACCAGGCTAGCAGAGGATGGCAGTGAGGGGCTGGTGGTGGTGGTGGTGATGGTGGTGGTAGTGGTGGGGAATTGGGGGCAACCAGGCCAGCATGGGGGGCAGTAAGGGGCGATCAGGCAGGCAGACAGATGAGCAGTTAGGAGCCAGTGGTCCCAGATTGTGAGAGGGGAGTCAGACATTCCCTGAGAGGTCCTGGATTGGAGAGGGTACAGGATGGGCTAAGGGGACCCACCCTCCCCATGCACGAATTTCATGCACTGGGCCTCTAGCATTATAATAAGGAAACAAGCATTGTCCTAGCTGGTTTGGCTCAGTGGCTAGAGCGTCGGCCTCCTGACTGAAGGGTCCCAGGTTTGATTCCTGTCAAGGGCACATGCCCAGGTTACAGGCTCAATCCCCAGTAGGGGGTGTGCAGGAGCCAAATGATCAATGATTCTCATCATTGATGTTTCCATCTCTCTCTCCCTCTCCCTTTCTCTCTGAAATCAATAAAAAAAATGTATTTTGAAAAAAGATAACAAGCATAGAGAAGGTTACATATCCAAGGATATATGAGTGACATGAGAGCAGCAGAAGTAGAATTCAAGATCACGCCTGAATTGAGAGCTTACTGACTTAGCCATAATTGTCCCTCAGCCATGCAATCCTAATAGTCTTCCATTTTACTGTAGGGCCTGGGAGCAGAAACACAGGGGAATCACACACTCAAATTTCTCACTTCTCAAATACTATCACCCACATGAGCTATCAATTTCTGAAGTTTGCTGATGGCTACATGGGGGCTACATAAGAGTTTAGTTTTATTATCTTTGAAATTCTCTATAATAAAAAGTTAAAAATAAATTACAGCCCAGGACAGCAGTTTTACCAAGTTTTTCTTTTTTCTAAAGAAGTATCATCAATAAAAGCTCTCACCTAAAACCTGGGTTTTTAGAAACACCTATGCTACATTAGACAGTTCTCTACTTCCAACAACAAAAAAACCAACAGAGCTTTATTTAGTAGGGGTTATCACACAGCAGTAGTTGACAATCAAAGCTTATATGGTTTTGTTAGAGAAAATAACTTCTCTGCTAAGAAAGTTTATGCCCTACAAGTACCTAAAGGACTCCCAAGTGCCCAACAATCACAGGTGCTTTCTTGTATGAATTACATTCTTCAGTATCTCCCTCCATCAAAGGATTAAGATTTCAAGTGAGAAAAAAATGAGGCAGAAATATCACCTTTCAGTTCAAGATAGTTTTGTAATATTCTAAGAGTTTTTAGTATTAGAAAAAAAAATTCACTAAATTATTAAATATTAGAGGCCTGGTGCATTCGTGCACCAGTGGGGTCCTTTTGCCTGGCCTTTGGGAAACCAGCTCTCTGATATACCTTGACGGGTCCCAGATTGTGAGAGAATGGTTCCCAGAATTGGGTTCCCTCCTCTCTGGTTCCAGGTGTGTTACCCAAGAACTGCAGCTGCCAAGTCACTGCAGCTCCTGCGTTCAGTGTCTGCCTCCTGGGGGTCATTGTGCATCACAGCTACTGGTTGGACAGTTGGACAGTCCCTTAGGCATATATATATATATATATATATATATATATATATATATATATATATATGCCTGTTTCTCAGCCCTGACCCTTGTGGTTCAGTTGGTTAAGTGTCATCCTGTGCACTGAAAACTTGCCAGTTCGATGGGTCAGAACACATACCTGGGTTATGGGTTCAATCCCTGGGTAGGGCACGTATGGAAGGCAGCCAATACATGTTTCTCTCTCTCTCCCTTTTCCTCTCTCCTAAGCATGTCCTTGGGTGAGGAAATAAAAACAAAAAATATGCCTGTTTCTCAAAAACATCTACTGGTTCCACATGACCAGCAGAATAAAATTCAAACACTTCAACCTACTGTTCAATATCTAAGCCCCATTCAACCTATGAACATGAAACTGTTAAGACAACAGAAATCTCAGCTTACGTGAGAGAAAGAACTGTTAATTGCTGCTTCCTGAAAGTTTCTATCTTGACTTCAAATCTCCTTTGCCTCATGTTCTTTTCCTTTCTAAAATGGCTTCCCCTTTCCTTTCTGCTTATACAACAATATTATACTGTTTAGGGCAGTGGTTTCTTACCCTTTTTTTCCTTCAACCTGTTTGTAAGAGGCCTAACATATATGCCCACTTCTCTAAACTTATAAACTTTGAGAGAGAGATTACCCTTAGTTTAGAGAGGGTAATAAAATGAGGAATGGCTCTGAGAAAAAAGTAGAGATTGAAAAACAGGCAGGATTTGTACATGCAGAGCTTTAGAATGGCATTCCAGCAGGAGGAATATGATAGAGCAGAGAAGTGCACTGAGTATAAACAGAAACTAGTTAACACATGAGTTCTCTTATAGGTTGATGGATCTATTCTTCCCACTAGCAGGTATGAACTAAGCACCTAACATTGGACCATAATCACAAATTATGAAATATGGTTGTTGACTGAACATTAAAAGGTCAAATTATAGATGGTTGGATCAGAGAAAATCTGTGATGTCCCAATATTTTAGAGACTTGTTTCAAAATTTTCAAAACTGTTTAAGATCTTTATTAAATACTAGAGGCCTGATGCACAAAACTCGTGCAAAGGGCTCGGCCCTTGCAGCCGCAGCTTCATCTAGAAGGTTGTCCAGAGGATGTCTGGCTGACTAGTCTAATTAGCATATTACGCTTTTATTATTATAGATTAACCAACATGTTAAAACTATATTATCCAAAATCTTTTCATTAGAGCCGAAACCGGTTTGGCTCAGTGGTAGAGCATTGGTCTGTGGACTGAAAGGTCCCGGGTTCGATTCCGGTCAAGGGTATGTACCTTGGTTGTGGGCATATCCCTGGTAGGGGGTGTGCAAGAGGCAGCTGGTCGATGTTTCTCTCTCATTGACATTTCTAGCTCTCTAGCTCTCTCCCTTCCTCTCTGTAAAAAATCAATAAAATATATTTTAAAAAAATCTTTTCATTAGAGTAGTTCCTGTTAGGACTATTGTCAATACGGTTATTTTAGTTTCTACAATTATTTATACATAACAAAATTGCTCTGCCTTAATAAAGTCTATAGTCAACACTCCCAAAATTCATATTGATCTCATTGTAGCTCATATAAATTAACATACTTAGAAAAATAATTTTTTAATGCTTGGAAAAATATGTATGTTTAGAAGAATACACGAGAACAATTTATGAAATATTTGCTCAGGGTGCACTCTTCATTTCTATTTTGACACAATGCAATTTTTGCAAATGAGATCTATAGCTTGATTATAATTATAAGTATTTAAAAATACTAATGAGCCTATGGAATTCATACATATGAAAAAAATAAAGCATCAAATTCTTTTAATTAGAATTATTGAAAGCGAAAGTTCTTCATCTACTGTGTAAAAACAAAAAACTCTGTCAGAAATAGAACACCCCCACCTTCCTATCCAACACATCCCAACTTACCGTTGGACTCGGAGTGGTGCAGCTGACCCTTCTGAGCCGTCTCTGCATTAGGTCATGCTCCATACCGTTAACTTCAGCCTTCAATCGTTCTAACTCCTCTTTCTCAAGTTTCAATTGCTTTGCTAACCTCTCCATCCTTGCTCTCTGATGCAACAGCAAGGCTATAGCATTACAGATAAAGTAATTGCAAAGAATAACATTGAACAAGTGAGCGGGAAATTTCTATATGCATAGCTATTGTACAGAATACTTGTAAGGAACCCTGCAATCCAACTTCAGTTGGCGTTAATTTTCATGTCTTTCTAATGCTAGCCTATGTTCATATCTGCTTTAATTTCGCTTGTAACTGCTGCCAAAATGACATTATCTATATGTCCCTCTTGTTCTGTTATCCATAGTTTCCCTAAAATTCTCCTCATTTTAAATACCAGGCATACTGATGTTCTTTTCATTAAATTCTGAAGTCTTAAAACAATCTGAATAGACTTTTTAAAAACTCTATTCTATTTACTAGTACTTAGGTCCATTTTTAATAAATAATTCTTTATTGTTGAAGGTATTACATATGTCTCGTTTTCCCCCCACTGACTCCCTCCAGACCGCCCTATCCCCTATCCCAGGACCTCACTGCCCCATTGTCTGTGTTGAAGGGCCATGCATATATACTAAGGTCCATTTGTAATCTAACAATGTTCTTCATATCAATCCAACTTCTTAAAAATATTGCATCCTTCAAGCCATCCTTTTAGAAAAGGTTCAAATTCTTTCACCTTGATAAACTTTAGTCTAGCCTCTATAAATCTTTCCCCCCCATTCTGTATTTTTAACAGTATTGATTTCACTTAAAAATTATTTTTCTCACGACTGTTCTTCCTAAAAGAACAGTCAGTAGTGACCTTATTAGGTCACTACTCTACATTTTCATATTTTAAAATTAAGTCTGTAGATGGCTCTCAAGCACTAACTTTATTCTTAATAGCAATGCTACTACCCATTATTTAATAAACAGTACTACTAAACATCTAATTAAAACTAAATAGCTAATCTTTATTCCTTCATTTCCCACCCCAACCATAAAGATTAAATTTCATAAAAGGGATAAAAGTACCTTGTGTATAGGCATAGTCATCTGATCCAGAACTAGAACTCCTGTGGTATTTATGGCTTCCCTTTTCTCCCAAAGAGCCTGGTATCATTGAAATAGGCTGAATAGGTTCTGGGGCTGCAGAAGGTTCTTCTTGGTCCACTAAATTTAAAAGGTTTTCAGTCGTTGCTCGGCCTACGGTAATTTTAAAAACTGTAGTTGGGTTTGGGATTACGCGAGGAGATGGTGATGGAGCGCATGAAGGTCCAGTTGGCTGTGTATATGTAATATACACAGGATTAACACTAAATGGAGGTTTTGGTTGACTGGATATCCCTCTTGAAGGAGAACTTGAGGGTGGAGTGGTGGCTGTGTACAACGAATGCTGATTCCGTGGAGACGGCTGATTACTGATAGGTGAAGGACTCCTTTGAGAGGGTTCAACTGTAATTTCTATCTTCTTCATGGATCCTTTGGGTAAGCTAGATGTTGTATATGGGAGATAAGCTATTGAATGGTTTCCCTGTTTGTGATAGCTAGAAGGTCCTTGTTGATAAGGATGAGGTGGAGTAGTTGAAGGACTCGGGGGCATAAAGACATGGGAACTCGGGTGGCCCAACGGTGAAGGTTGCACTTGATGTTGTGGAGAGCTGTACGGTGAAGGACACTGCGAAGGAGGTGGCGAATGGTAAGCAGGCTGAGGGATCTGTTGTTGTTTGGGAGAATACTGAGAAGGTTGATAGTTCTGTTGATGTGGATAAATAGGTAGAGGACGTTGGCTATAATGAGACACTGGGCCCTGTGGTGAAGACTGCCATGGGGTACTCTGAGGAGTTCGTCTTCCGGATGGACTCTGAGATGTCTGTCTAATATAAATAGAACCAGGAGACCCATAGAGATTGCTTGGAATTTGTGGAAGGATTTGTAAAGCTCTTGGTACAGTCTGTCCAGAAGGGAGGTTTTGGGATACTGTAACAGTAATTGGATTTGTACTATACCGAGGTATGTGCATGTATGAAGGAGGTGAAGGCCCTTGCATAGCAGACGGATTCATTCCTGTTTGCATCGAAGATGGCTGTTGAGGTGGCTGTGAAGGAGGAGTAGCTGCACTTCTGTTCTGTTCATTCATAAAAAATGGATTGTAGTTTGGAGTAGCAGCCACAACAGCTGGGGCCGAGTGTGGTTCCGGAACTAAACATATCAATTGTTTACCTGCTGCATGCTGTGGATCAATATGTCCATCACTTGAACTATGTACCAGTGTTCGACCACCATTAAGTTGTGCTCCATCTCCTGGGTGGTAGCTACTAGGAGAATGGATTCCCAGGTTAATATGCAAAAGGCGATTTCTATTGATTCTGTTGTCTTCTGGACTATGGTATTCCATATATAAGTACTTGCTACTCTCCTGGGAAAGGGCTCGGCAACAGGCTTCAAGATTGTTGTTATTCTAGGGAAGAAAATTGGTTAAGGTAAATTGGCAAAATTAAAAAGTCCTAACAGCAGAAGACAAGCTTTGCCAGAGAGTTATGCAAATATGATTGTCACAGAATTAGCAGAGAACAGTATTTTAAGCACAAAATTCTTCATGATCATCTATCCTGAAAAGGAGATCTCAAACGATAATTTTATAGACATTTAGTTTACATGACCAGTGCTACCTTTATTGCTACTGAAATATAAAGTACCTACTAATGAACATTGTGACTCAAGCCCAACTTTTCTGACTCCAATTCCAGGACTCATTTATACTTGTCACATCTCAAAAAATTAAAATGTTGGGCTACTCTTGTATTCGCCACAATTGCTGCAATATAGAAGTATAAATAATAACCATCATTAATATTTAAACATGAAAATAACCATGCTTTAGTTTTCTAAAGGCACTGAAATCACAAAAGAAAAAAACTAACAAGCAGCCTTCACTTTTCTTTTAACCAAAGTTATCCCTATATAACTTCAACTGTCTCTATCACTATGAAAGATAAAGCTAAACAAAGAAATCAGTTTAAAAAAAAAAAAAAAGGCCACTTTTTGAACTATGACGCCATGACTTTGCCAAAGTTACGGTGATTTAACACAAGACCAGGTCTTGGCTGACTTAATGAAATTCTTCACAATTTTACAGTCTTTTTACCTGATGAAAGGTAGCTTGGTAAACTTTCAAAATCATTTAAGGATTTTAATTTTTTTAGTTATACACACAGATAAGGTAATAGCAAACATTTTAGATGTTCCAATTGACAGTAATGAAACTATTAACAGGTTCTCTCTTTTTAAATTTTAAGATATGATAGTTTCCATTAAAATATAAAATTCAGACCTACGTTATTAGCCTAAAACACTATTATTCATTGACTTTGAAATAATCTGTTTTCTCCCCCTGGCCAGTGTGGAGTGTCATCCATCCTGTGCACTGGCAGGGCTGGGTTCGATCAGGGTGTGTACAGGAGGCAACCAATAGATGTATCTCTTTCACATCATTGTCACTCACTCTTCTTCCTCTCCCTTTCTCTCTAAAATCAATTAAAAATATTTTATTGATTTCAAAGATGGAGGGAGAGAGATACAGAAACATCAATGATGAGAGAGAATCACTGATTAGCTGCCTTCTGCAGTCCTCTTACTGGGGATGGAGCCTGCATCCCGGGTATGTGCCCTGACTGGGAATGGAACCATGACCTCCTGGGTCATAGGTTGATGCTCAACCATTGAGCTTCGCTGGTTGGGCTCTAAAATCAATTAAAATTTTTTTAATTAAAAAAAAATCCTGGTCAATGTGGTTCAGTGGTAGAGCATCTTCCTATGCACCAAGAGGTCCCCAGTTTGAGTCTCAGTCAGGGCACATGCCCAGGGTAGTGGGCTCAATCCTCAGCAGGGGGCATGTACAAGGCAGCTGATCAATGTTAATGCATCAATAGATGTTTCTATCTCTCTCTAAAATCAATAAAAACATTAAAAAAATCTTAAAGAAATAATCTATTAATATTTCTTAATTATCACTACCTTCTATGTAGTTCTGCCGAGAACTACCTAAGGTTAAACCTAAGACAGGACATACAACGCTACAATTTTATTTATTAAAATTTATTTCAGAGAGGAAGGAAGAGGGAGAGATAGAAACGTCACTGATGAGAGAGAATCATTGATCGGATAACTCCTGTACTCCCCCTACTGGGGACTCAATCCCTGATCTCTTGATTCATAGGTCATTACACCAGCCAGGCAATGCTACAATTTTAGAGCTATGAGAACTCTTAGGTTTCATCTAGTCCAGAGCAACTCATTTACAGATAAGAAAAGAGATGCTTGGAAAATTACATGGCTTGACAACAAGCACTTAACTGGTTAATAGGAGAGCCAGGTCTAGATTCTTAGTTTCCTGGCTTGCAATGCTCTTTCCCCTTAAACGCAACAATGTCAGGGAGAGGATATTAGGCCAAAAGTACATTACTATAGTAAAGCTTTAGGGAGCAATAGGAGATTTGGTCAAGCAAACCTTTGCAAAATGAAGTATCAGAAATTTAAAGAATTAATGTTTTAAACATTCTACAAGTAAATTTTATCCTTTTCCTTATATAAAGCTTTTCATGTTTTTAATCCTTACCAGATAATATTTTTTCCATTGATTTTGAGAGAGAGTAGTAGTGGAGAGAGAAACATCAATGTGAGAGAGACAGAGATTGGTTGCCTCCAACAGGAGCACTGACCTGGGGGGTAGGGATTGAGCCTGTAACTGAGTTATGAGGTACCTGTCCTTGACCAGAAATTGAACCTGAGACCCTTCTGCAGGCTGATTCTCTAACCAGTGAGCAAAACTGGCCAGGGCATATAAATCCCTTCCTCTCTGAAATCAAATTCAAATACTTTTAAAAATACTTTATGATCCATAGGAAAAAACACACAATGTTAAATTTTAAAAAGAAAATAATTAGAATTCAAAGTCTGGGTTTTTTCTTATCTTTCTTGGAAATCATGCTGATCAAGAGAGAAAAGCTAGATATTAAGCAAAATTGGAGCCAAAAGATTCAAATGTCACTTACATAGCTGAAGGAAAAAAAATATGAAAAGTGAAAATAAGATTATCTCCTTAAAGTATTTTTATGAACCAATGGATTAAGAGGAGAACACAAACTTGAGAGTTTTATTTGAAACCTAAAGCAGTTATGGACACTTCACTATTTGCATTTGTATTAATGGTCCAGAAATTTCATATTTTCTACACTGAAATAGGTAGCCTAATTAGTATTGTTGCAAAAAGGATCCAAATTCAAAATGATACAAAGTTAGTTTTGTCAGCTTATTTCAAATATGTCTACAGTGACAAGTTGAGTAAATTTTTCTATGAAAAAAATTTAAATCACAAAAAAAGATATTTAAGTATTTTAAAAAGAATACCACCAGAATAGATTCAAATGTCATATTTAACCTGGTAAATATCTTACAAAAAATGAATTAAAAACTTTTCAGCCGGGACCGGTTTGGCTCAATGGATAGAGCGTCGGCTTGGGGACCAAAGGGTCCCAGGTTCGATTCCGGTCAAGGGCATGTACCTTGGTTGCGGGCACATCTTCAGTAGGGGGTGTGCAAGAGGCAGCTGATTGATGACTCTCATAGATGTTTCTAACTCTCTATCTCTCTCCCTTCCTCTCTGTACAAAATCAATAAAATATTAAAAAAAAAAACAACCCTATTTAAAAAAAAAAAAAACCAAAAAACTTTTCAAACAGCAAGCATAAAGAATAAGACAAATTAAAACTGTTTAGTTAGCCAAGACCGATTTGGCTCAGTGGATAGAGCGTCAGCCTGCGGACTGAAAGGTCCCAGGTTCGATTCCTGTCAAGGGCATGTACTTTGGTTGCGGGCACATCCCCCCGTAGGGGGTGTGCAGGAGGCAGCTGATTGATGATTCTCTCTCATCGATGTTTCTAACTCTCTATCCCTCTCCCTTCCTCTCTGTTAAAAATCAATAAAATATATATTTTTTAAAAACTAGTTAAAGAGGTTATAATTTTTATGAAGATATACAGTATATGAACTCTCTAGAAAGGACCGATGCAAAAAAAGTATCATACTTTCAGAGTTATCTTAAATTGAGGGATGATAGCCCTGAGACAGGATATAAGGTTTATGTTTTAAAATGCAAACTACTGAATACCATATATTTCCTGACCCAGTAAGAGGTAAGTTCCCTATCAATTAACTCTATTAATTTCAAAGGAAGAAAATGACAATGTAAGTTATCACCAAATGTTCATTGAGTTGAATTTATAGATCCATTCCTTCAGTTTAGTAAGTAACATGAAAACAACTAAGCCATGAAAAATTACAGGTGATAAAGAACTAAGTAAAGCTCTAACGGATTTGGCTCAGGGGATAGAGCGTCAGCCTGTGTGGACTGAAGGGTCCCAGGTTCAATCCTGGTCAAGGGCATGTACCTTGGTTGTGGGCACATCCCCAGTAGGGGGTGTGCAGGAGGCAGCTGATTGATGTTTCTCTCTCATCGATGTTTCTAACTCTCTATTCCTCTCCCTTCCTCTCTGTAAAAAAATAATAAAATATATTTTTTTAAAAAAAGAACTAAGTAAAATAAAATAAAAAGATCAGAGGTAGGTGGGGCCCAAGGAGATTACTAGTGCTTTAAACCAGAGCTCCACCTGGATTCATTCCAGTGGGAAATACTTTTGATATCATTATAATAAGCTAATTATTAATAACTAGAGTCTAGGTGCATGAAATTCATACACAGGCAGGGTCCCTAAGCCTGTTCGGCGATCAGGGCTGATCAGGCTTTCTGGGCGGCCGGCCAGGGCCTTCCTTCCCTGGCTGCCAACCAGGCCTTCCTTCACTCCGCGCTGCCCCCTGGTTGTCAGCGCACATCATAGCGAGTGATCAAACTCCCAGCTGAACTCCTGAGGGGACACTTTGCATATTGGCCTTTTATTTTTTTTTTAATTTTATTTATTTGTTTGTTTGTTTTTAAAACATATTTTATTGATATTTTACAGAGAGGAAGGGAGAGGGATAGTTAGAAACATCAATGACAGAGACACATCGATCAGCTACCTTCTGCACACTCCCTACTGGTTATGTGCCTGCAACCAAGGTACATACCCTTGACTGGAATCGAACTTGGGACCCTGAGTCCACAGGCCAACACTCTAGCCCTCTAGCCATGGAGCCAAACATGTTAGGGTGCATATTAGCCTTTTAGATAGACAAATAGATAGAGATAAAGAGATAGATAGATAATAGATAGGAAAGGAACAAAGCGAAGGCCAGACATTTCTGCAAGTTCCCTGCAAAACATTGGACTAGACAAAGGGAAGATGCCCAGTAAAGTTGGGATGACTAGGGAAGACATGGTCTATCAGAGATAAAAGGTCTTTATTTCACTAGAAGACAAGACAAAATGAATGTGGTTAAAGAAAGTGGCCTTAGTGGCATTTA